CCTAAAATTAACCCCCCCCCCCCCCACATTGACGGTGCTTTTTGATGGCTTTGCATGCGGCAAGGCCATCTTTGGCCTTTTGCGGTGCATCTTGAGACCCGACGCCGTTTTGGAGGACACCCCCCCCCCGTTTCTCTCGCCGTCTGGCCTCCCGTGTGCCCCATCATCATTTCTTTTGAATTCCCGTCCGCCCGCGGGCTGTCCCGCCGGCCTGGCGGAGGCCTGCGCGCTCCCTCGCCTCCAACAATAGAGGAGCATACTTGAACCGAGATAACATTTCCTTCCTCCCTTCAGCTGCACGAGTTCTTCAACGTTGGCAAGGGGATTTTTGATGACATTGCTAGAAGGTTTCCAGTCTACGCTCTGGACTACACTGACGGTAGGTGAGCTGCTGTTTATGGGGGGGGGGGGGGAGATTTGTGCCGTGTCCTGTTTACCAGTTTGTCTGACAACTCGGCCTTGTCGAAAGGAAAATTTCATCGCTTTCGAGTCTTCAGCCAAAAGGGGATGCCCTCTGACCACCTCCAGGGTTGCCCACGTGTGCCAAGAGGTTTACGTGGGGCGGCAAAACACGGTATTATAATCCCGCACCCAATAGTATTATCTCGTTATCAGAGTCACACGTTTTAAATATGGTTTGAGAGGTCTTTGGTGGTCCCCGAGCTTGGTTGCTTTTTGCAGATGTTTCATTACCAAACTAGGTAACATTGTCAGGTGCACTGAAGACCTGCATCAAACCCCACTCCCTTGTAGCACTGATGCTGTTACCTAGGTTGGTAATGAAATGTCTGCAAGAAAACCACCCAGCTCAGAGAGCACCAGGGACCTCACAGTTCTCCTCCTCCTCCTCCTTCTCTTCCTCCTTCTCCTTCTCCTTCTCCTCCTCTTCCTCCCCCTCTTCTTCTTCTTCTTCTTCTTCTTCTTCTTCTTCTTCTTCTTCTTCTTCTTCTTCTTCTTCTTCTTCTTCTCTTCTTCTTCTTCTTCTTCTTCTTCTTCTTCTTCTTCTTCTTCTTCTTCTTCTTCTTCTTCTTCTTCTTCTTCTTCTTCTTCTTCTTCTTCTTCTTCTCCTCCTCCTTCTCCTCCTCCTCCTCCTCCTCCTCCTCCTCCTCCTCTCTTAAACCCCCCCCTTGCTCCCAGCACTGATGATGTTCCCTAGTTGGGTAATGAGACATCTGCAAGACAACAAGGTCAGAGAGCATCAAGGATTCCACAGGCCTCCTCCTCCTCCTCCTCCTCCTCCCTCTCCCTGCAAACCTCATCCCCTTCTAGCACTGCTGATGTTACCTAGTTGGGTCATGAAACGTCTGGAAGAAAACCACCCAGCTCAGAGAGCAACAAGGACCCCACAGTTGTCGTTCCTCCTCCTCCTCCTCCTCCTCCTCCTCCTCCTCCTCCTCCCCCCCCACAAACCACATTCCCTTCTAGCACTGCTTTTGTTTTATTTTATATATTTTATTTTATTCTCTGTTTTGAAAGTTTATATGGCCGGAACTCACGGTGACTCTGGGCAGCTTACAAAAATAAAACCACCCTACAAAATCCAATAACTGAGCCCAAAATGTCCATCGCTAAGCGAGACAGCTGCTAAGTGGGTTTTGCCCCACTTTATGACCTTTCTTGCCATCGTCGTTAAGTGAATCACTGCACTTGTTAAGTTAGCAACACAGTTGTTAAGTGAATCTGCCTTCCCCCGTTGACTTTGCTTGTCGCAAAGGTCGCAAAAAGGGGATCGCCTGACCCTGGGACACTGCGACCGTCATAAATACGAGTCAGTTGCCAAGCCTCTGCATTTTGATCGCATGACCACGGGGATGCTGTAACGGACAGTCGTAAGCGTGAAAAACAGTCCTAAGTCACTTTTTTCAGTGCCGTTGTAACTTGAAACGGTCACTAAATGCACTGTTGTATGTTTTGGATTACCTATATGCTGTGGGTAATCAAGATTCAATTAAATGACAGAGTTCTACGTGACATCTGTTTCCCCTCCCCTCACAAAGAGAAAATGTTGGATAATTCCCTGATTCAAGAATCATTTTAAATTTTTAAATCCATCAGTTGAAATCTGTAATTTCTTTAGACTGTCTTAAAATACAATCAGGTGGAAAATGTGCTTATTTCGATAATGAGAATGAAATGAAATGAAAGGCAACCAAAGCTATGCTTGGTAACATATTATTATAAAACTACAACACTAACAGTAAAAAAAAACTACCTATGTGCTAAAAGGGAACGCTAAAGATCACAAAGAGGATGTGAAAACGGGTAAACATTTAAAAAATAAAATTAAAGAGACATTCTTCATAAGTTTATTCGTGCCAGGTTCCCTTAATTATTTGTATGGAAATGTTAATTGCTGCCAGACAATTAACCGTCCCTTGTGGAAGAGGAGAAAATTAAGAGGAAAGCTTTCATTATGGATTGTAACATGTGGGAAGGAAGAGGGAGGGAGGAAGGAAGGAAGGAAGGAAGGAAAGAGAAAGAAAGAAAGAAAAGAAAGAAAGAAAGAAAAAAGAAAAAAGGGAAAGGGAAAGAAAAAAGGGATAGAGGAAGGAAGCAGGAGGGAGAGGAAGGAAAGAATAAGGGAAGGAGGGAGGGAAAGAACAAAAGGAACAAATGAAGGGAGGGAGGAAGAGGAAGGAAGGAAGAATCGAGGGAGGAAAGAGGAAGGAAGAATAGAGAAGGGAGGAAAGAGGAAGGAAGAATAGAGAGAAGGGAGGAAAGAAGGAAGGAAGAATAGAGAGAAGGGAGGAAAGGGAGAGGAAGGAAGGAAGAATAGAGGGAGGAAAGAGGAAGGAAGAATAGAGAAGGGAGGAAAGAGGAAGGAAGGAAGAATAGAGAGAAGGGAGGAAAGAGGAAGGAAGAATAGAGAAGGGAGGAAAGAGGAAGGAAGGAAGAATAGAAAGAAGGGAGGAAAGGGAGAGGAAGGGAGGAAGAATAGAGAGAAGGGAGGGTGGAAAAGAAAAAATAGGAAGAAAGGAAAGAAGAAGATGGGAGGGGGGCACGAAGAAAGGAAAGGATGGAAGGAAGGAAGAGAAGGAAGGAAGCCCCCAATAGCCTTGGTGCTCTTGTGAGTTAACTACAGTTCCCAGAATTCCCTAGGGCACACACCTGGTTCATTTCCACGTTTTTGATCTGCTATTTGGGCTTTTTTTCTTTTTTCTTTTAGGCATTATCGGCAACAACAAAGCGATAGGGAAATACATCACCACCATGATCTTCCTCTATTTTGCCTGCCTCCTGCCAACCATCGCTTTCGGGTCCCTGAATGACGAGAACACCGAGGGGGTCATAGGTGAGTGGCCCTTCCCGTGTTTACGTTGGAAGGGGGGGGTCTGAGTAGTGGGCAGATCCCGCTTGAGCGTCTCTCTAGCGGATAGAATCAAGATCAGGTGAACTGTTAGTACCCCTTTACAAGGCCTTGGTAAGGCCATACTTGGAATACGGCATCCAGTTTTGGTCACCACGATGTAAAAAAGATGTTGAGACTCTAGAAAGAGTGCAGAGAAGAGCAACAAAGATGATCAGGGGACTGGAGGCTAAAACATATAAGGAATGGTTGCTGGAATTGGGGATGTCTAGTCTAATGAAGAGAAGGACGAGGGGGGACATGATAGCAGTCTTCCAATATCTCAGGGGCTGCCCCAAAGAAGAGGGAGTCAAGCTATTTTCCAAAGCGCCTGAAGGCAGGACAAGAAGCAATGAATGGAAACTAATCAAGGAGAGAAGCAACTAAGAGAGAACTAAGGAGAAACTTCCTGACAGTTAGAACAATTAACCAGTGGAACTACCTGCCTCCAGAAGCGGTGAATGCTCCAACACTGGAAGTTTTTAAGAAGAGACTGGACAGCCATTTGTCCGAAATGGTATAGGGTTTCCTGCCTGAGCAGGGGGTTGGATTAGATGACCTCCAAGGTCTCTTCCAATTATTATTATTATTATTGTTATTGTTATTGTTATTGTTATTATTATTATTATTATTATTATTATTATTATTATTATAGGGCAGGTAGTCCCCCGACTCATGACCTCCATTAATTTCTGTCGCTAAGCAAGACATTTGGTGAAGTGAGTTTTGCCCTACTGCCTATGACCTCCTCGGATGAATAAGGCAGCGTTTGGGACATCCCTGTGCGTTTTAATTTATTTGCAGAATTTACTTTGTATTTAAAAAAAAAAAAAACCTGATTAAAACGTCGGCGTGCAGCAGTGAGCAGAATAGGAACTCCCTTGCACTTAAGGATGGTTTAAAAAAAAAAAAGTTCATCAAGGCTAGAGACGGCTCTAAAAATAAATAAGAGGCGGTAGCAAGGATTTTTATTTTATTTTTTTAAAAAAGAAAAGCTTAAAAACAGTCTTCTCGGCCCAAAGAAAAACAAAAACCTTTGTTGGAATCAGACCAGGAAATCTTAGCTTTATTTATCCGCATGTCTCCTTGGACCCAAAGTCCAGGAAATTCCATGTTTCTGATTTCCAAGGTTATAAAAGATAAGAACAGCATATCTTGCTCAGCTATAAGTTCAGAATTGTGCTCGGACACACACACACACACACACACACACACAGAGAGAGAGAGAGAGAGAGAGAGAGAGTGCTTCCTAAAAAACCTACAGGAGTCTAAAGTTAATAATAATAGTAGTAGTAGTAGTAGTAGTAGTAGTAGTAGTAAAGTTGGAAGGGACCTTGGAGGTCATCTAGTCCAACCCCCTGCTCAGGCAGGAAACCCTATACCATTTCGGACAAATGATGGTCCAATTTCTTGTTTAAAACCTCCAGTGTTGGAGCATTCACAGCTTCTGGTGGCAAGCTGTTCCACTAATTAATTGTTCTGACTGTCAGGAAAACAAGAAATGAAGAAGCTTCTTGGATGATAAGTGAAACGTCTTTAGAATAGAATAGAATAGAATAAGAATAAGAATAGGAAAGAATAAGAATAGAATAGAATAGAATAGAATAGAATAGAATAGAATAGAATAGAATAGAATAGAATAGAATAGAATAACAATAGAATAACAATAGAATAACAATAGAATAGAATAGAAATAAGAATTAGAATAGAATAAGAATTAGAATAGAATAGAATAGAATAGAATAACAATAGAATAACAATAGAATAACAATAGAATAGAAATAAGAATTAGAATAGAATAAGAATTAGAATAGAATAGAATAGAATAGAATAGGAATAGAATAATAGAATAGAATAACAATAAAATAGAATAGAAATAAGAATTAGAATAGAATAAGAATAGAATAGAATAGAATAGAATAGAATAGAATAGAATAGAATAGAACCCAGTCCAACTCCCCTTGAATTCCTTGACCCTTATCTAACTCCCAGCAGGTGCTCACCATTACAGATAGACCTCAACTTACAACCATTCATTTAGTGATGGTTCAAAGTTAACAATGGTACTGAAAAAAGGGACTTATGACCGTTTTTCACACTTAGGACCGTCGCAGCAACCCCAGACACTTGACCACTGATTCATATTTATGCTGGTTGCAGTGTCCGGGAGGGTGGGGGTGTCCCGCGATCCTCTTCTGTGACTTTCTGACAAGCAGAGTCAATAGGGGAAGCCGGATTCACTTAACAACCGTGTTACTAACTTAACAACTGCAGTGATCCACTTAACAATTGTGGCCAGAAAAGTCACAGAACAGGGGCAAAACTCACTTCACCGCTGTCTCGCTTAGAAACAGAAATTTGGGGTCCATGGTAGTCGTAGGTTGAGGACTAGCTATAGTTGAAAAGATTTCCTGCAGCACAGCTTTTTAGCAATAAATCAGTTTAATTGGACCTCCGGATGTTTTTTTTCCTGCCTGATAATGCTGCGATTTAAGGCAGGTGTCAACACTGCTCACATCGGATGTTTTTGCTTTGACAACAGATGGAGATACAACCCTTTTCTTCTTATGTTTTACTCTTAGAGTTAGAGTTAGATGATGCTGGGAGGGGGAGGAATGCGCATGAGAGTTGAGCCAGACATAACAATACTGGACCTAGTGTGTGAACCAAGGTTATTGAAATAAGAGATGATAAGGATTGGCGGGCTGGAGAACTGGAGGGAAGGCCTGCATTTCAAGCTAATTGGAGAATGTGGTTTATGACTGTTAATTGGAGGAGGGAATTGTGCTTTGATGCTATGTGCTCAGGGGAGGGGAATTCAGTTTTTGGCTTCGGCTGTGTTAGTGCTGACGCTATGTTTCTCGAATAAAGGTTCTTTAAGGTAAACAATGCCTCTTTGAAGATTTTCATCTGTCGGAACCAGGACATTAAGCCAAAAACAGGTTGACTTCAGCCAATCCCTGCTTTGTTTTCCCAGTGTTGTCTTTTTTTATTTCCAGATGTGCAAAAGTCGATTGTGGGTCAGTGCATCGGTGGCCTGCTTTACGCGCTCTTCGCCGGCCAGCCGCTAGTGGTGCTTTTAACCACGGCTCCTTTGGCACTGTATATCAACGGTGAGTTCATCCTTGCCACTTTTCTGGGTTCTCTGCGCTTCGGGGTTCCCACAAGCGATAGGCTTTGGAGTACCGCCGACGGGCTCAACATGCTGCCTGCCGCACGGTCCTCGTCCCTCCTGCCCACCCCTTTGATCAGCATCCCCCTTCGATGTTCAGACTGCTTTGTCCCAAAGGTGCTTTTTCCAGAGGCAACTGGACTTTCTTTGTTCTCCTTTGAAGACGTTTCCCTTCTCATTCCAGAAGCTTCTTCAGTTCTGACTGGATGGTGGGGACTGGAAGGATTTATACTCCTTGCAGACAACTGAGCTGGCTTTCATGCCTAAGGCAGGACTAGAACTCTCCATCTCCTGGTGATTGGCCCAAAGTCACCCATCCAGCTTTCATGTCTAAGCCAGGACTAGAACTCACCATTTCCTGGTGATTGGCCCAAAACCATCCAACTGGCTTTCATGCTTAAGGCAGAACTAGAACTCTCCATCTCCTGGTGATTGGCCCAAAGTCACCCATCCAGCTTTCATGTCTAAGCCAGGACTAGAACTCTCCATTTCCTGGTGATTGGCCCAAAATCATCCAACTGGCTTTCATGCTTAAGGCAGAACTAGAACTCTCCATCTCCTGGTGATTGGCCCAAAGTCACCCATCCAGCTTTCATGTCTAAGCCAGGACTAGAACTCTCCATTTCCTGGTGATTGGCCCAAAGTCACTCAGCGGACATTCATAACTTACGCGGGACTAGAACTCACGGACTCCTGGTGATTGGCCCCAAATCACCCAACTAGCTTGCAGGTCTAAGGCAGGACTAGAACTCACGGTCTCCTAGTCTCTAGCCTAACGCTTTCATCGGCAGTCTAAACTGGCTCTCTTTCTTTCTTGCTTCCAGTGATCAAAGGAATCTGTTACGACTACAATTTGGATTTCCGCGCGTTTTACGCTTGGGTCGGTCTCTGGAACAGCTTTTTCCTCGTGCTGTACTCTCTCTTCAACTTCAGCCTTGTCATGAAGCTCTTTAAAAGGTAAGACACGCATGTTGGTTGTTGCTGTT